GGGCAGGGCCGGGGTTGTTTTTGCAGGGGCGGGGGTCGGGTAGCCCCGCGGCGGGGTTCCGGGGTTGAAACCCCTACCCCGGCTTGGGCCCCGGGGATCCCCGCGTGACAACGCTGAGGTGGACCCTATCCTGTCGGAGGTGTGGTTCGGATTAATCTGAGATGGGAACCGGTGGATGGACGGCACGGTCTGTTGACAGCGTGTGATTTCGTCGTTCATGTTTATCAGAACGTGCGACGTCGTAAATACCGTCTAAGCATGTGACAAATCCAAATTTGCCATCGGTGTGGTTCGGATTAATCCGAACTTCGCCGAGGTGCCTCGGTTAGTGGTCGCCCTGTGAGTTTTAGTGGGTTGTGGCTCGGATGCAACCGAAATTAACAAGGGTGGCTTGGATACATTAGTTGTTGCGCCACCACAAGATGGTATGGACAGGGTGGGCTGTCGTCCTCCTCGTTGGTCAGACATGTCGCCGTCGACAATACCCTATAAGCATCTGATTGCTTCGTGTCCTGTCCTGTGTCCACGTCAGCGGAAGGGTTCCTCGCGGCGTTTGGCTGATGCGAGGTTTAATAGGGTTTAAAGATTTGAATTCACGTTCGTGTCCTGTGTCTTCGGATCTGTCGTACCATTCTTCGGATTACTGATCTGTGATTGCACTCAGGGGGGACCAACCTAAGATCGGTTGAGCAGCTGTCTGCGATACACGAAGATTGGAGAAAGGTTAAAAACACGCACAGACACGGAAGGGAGACTAAGATGGATAGAGCATGGGCAGCAAGAGGGTCTGTCTTTATCTCTCTATCTCTCCATGTGCAGATCCTCCGGATGGTGTTGTCCATTTCGGAATTCGCAATGTGACCCAGTAATAAAACTGCGCAAAAGAAATATAAGAAAAAATTGTTCGTGTCCGCGAGAGGAAGAGTGACGAAAAATGTGAAAGATTCGACGACTGCGGAGGACAATCTACGGATACAGAACCGAACGCCGAGCGAACTGCCTGACGCGACTTACGCGGAAAAATGAATAAACAAACCGAACTCAATAAAAATTAATTCAGCGAGAAGAAAGTCCATGTACAATCCAGAAGAGACACGTTTCGTGAGAAACCATGTTCTCGTGTTTGACAACATACGACGAAAATCCTTATATCGCAGTTCGTGAGAGAGACAATAAATTGACGACAAGCGAGTAACACTTCAAGAAAACATCTAAAGTGACGACACAATCTCGAAGGGCATGTCACAACATTCTCGGGCTACATTCGCGGGTCTCGTTTCGTTGGTGACCACTCGCCCCGATCAGATGGCACACTCGCACGTCCACGTGTCAGATCCTCAACATGCGTGGCCACGCTGATGGATGTGGGGCTCAATTCAACAACATTCTGTTGTCGCAGAGAGCACCGCATCCATCAGCGTGGCCACACTTGTTCAGGACGTGACACGTGGACGTCTGAGTGTGCCGTCTGGTTGGGGCGAGTGATCGCCAATGAAACGCATGCACTCTTGCTCCCGAAACTCCTTCATCTCGCCCCGATCAGATGGCACACTCAGACGTCCACATGTCAAGTCCTGAACATGCGTGGCCGCGCTGATGGGTGCGGGGCTCTATTGGACAACATTCTGCTGCCGCCTAGAGCCTCGCATCCATCAGCGTGCACACGCTTGTTCAGGAACTAACACGTGGACGTTTGAGTGTGCCATCTGATCGGGGTGAGTGGTCGCGAATGGAACGAAATCCGCAAATGCACCCCGAGGTAAGTTTGGGAAAGAAACAGGCCAGCGCATAAGACGAACGAAATAGAGGCGCTGAAGACAAACTAATGACGGGGACGAAGATGTTAGTTGAACACGACGGCACACATGTCCACGTGTCAAGTCCTGATCATGTGTGGCCATGCTGATGGGTGCGGGGTTCTATTCGACAACATTCTGTTGCCGCATAGAGCCCCGCATCCATCAGCGTGCCCACGCTTGTTCAAGACCCGCCACGTGGACGTGTGAGTGTGCCATCTGATCGGGGCGAGTGGTCGCTAATGGAACTAGAGGCACTGATAGCAAACTAACGACGGGAATGATGATGGTGGTGGAGCACGACGCTGTTGGTTCTTTCTCGTTCTTTTGTCTGCACTCGTCATTTACGTTCGCAAACTTTGTGCGAGCGACACAGACAAGCGCACTAAAACAAACGAGGTAAAAGACAGAAAGACAGATAAATAGATAGTGAGAGAGAGAGAGCGCGACAGAGAGGCGATCTCCGCCTTTATCACACGGCCCAATCAAACGTCACGATCAAATGACCCCGAAATTCACTTCGATCACACATCGGACTCTCGGAGAAAAATCCCTGTTAGATCACACGACACTGCTCGTTCGCGGCGACTGAACCCAATGTCATCGCTACCGCGCGAATCCCGACCACAGATCACGTACATGTGTGGGCATTCTGACAGTCTACGCAAACCCAACATGCCAGGAGTTTTCAGGTCGGTGGAGATGGCGAGAGAAAGAGAGATGGAGAGAGAGAGAGGGAGGGAGAGAGAGAGGGAGGGAGAGAGACAAAGAAATAGAGAGAGGGCGAGAGAGCGAGAGAGCGAGAGAGAGAGAGAGCGAGAGAGCGGGAGAG